AGAACTTTCGAGAGACATATCGATCCCTTCTTTAGAAAGAGAACACTGAGGCTGGAGATTGTCATTTGATTAATATCTATGTATATCTGCTGTATGACCTATAATTATTGGCCCCTGTTGTTCTGACTTATAGTCCTTGATTTTATTAAATTAGAAGATAGTAACTACCTTTGGAACTATACAGGCAGGATTAATAAAAGCAGATACAATACAATTGCATTGTTACCAGATGCAACTTTACTTTGTAATTTATATTGTGGTTGTATATAAATATTTTCAGGATTTTAAACTGATGATATTGCAGGAAAACTCTCTGCGCCAGCTAGCATTAAATTATACCTAAATATCCAGGTAAATAGCTTCGCCAGTCGAACCATCAGACGTATACCGGTCTGCAACAGTTAACGTCACTTACCTAAATCGTCAATAAATAATATGAAGTGAAGAGGGCCCAAAGTAGATCCTTGGGGAACTCCAGAGGTAGCTGTGCATACTGATGAATCAAAACCATTGTAACTGACAAATTAAGCCCTTAGATTTCTTAAGATTAGATATTTGTAAGTAATTATTATTTTTGTCTTGTAATGATATTCACACAATAAATGAATTGAAAGAGATAGGGACTTTTTGTGCTATTTTTTATCAATTTTCTTAAATAGAATTCCCTGTGTACTTATTTAGAAACAGCGCTTTCGTGCAATAGAATGACAGACCATTACTATAAGAGGGATATTACAAATGTTACACCTAGACAATAATGCAATGGAGATAGATGCTAAATCTGAGAAAAAAATGCTGAACTTTAACTATTAAGCAAACATTTTGAATTTAAATTCACTTGGTCGAACGAACTGATATTTTAAGCAAGTCTAAAATACTTCTGAAAGTCGATGAAGATTTTATGTTGTTATGATGGCAAGAAAGAGATCTTATTCCTTCAGCAACCGAATATTTGACTGACTAGGTCTATAGTACCTATGTCACTAACACACGTGCACAAAGCATAAACTATATTTATAAAACGGGTTACGTATGTAAGTTTAAAAATAAATAACTGAAAATATTCCAGTATTATTTAATAACTTATAGTCTGCACAACATTTATGTTATTGATAATCTTAATTAAACATAATCATTTTCAAAACGGAAAATTTGTAATATGAAGAGCACAATGCTCAATGAAAAAAATAGTTTATGGTCCACCTACCGGGAGCGCTGAAACTGCTATACAAACTCAGTATTAGAGATTCTACTCTATATAGTCTACGCTTTGTGCACGCGTGTCAAAATGTCAGACATAGGCGATGCCTCTTTGTCTGTAGATATCTAAAAGAAATGTGGTACCTACTTTTTTCCGGCTTTTATTGACATCTGCAAACTGTTTTCCGATATATTTACCCTAAAATAATACTGTAACTTTGTCTGAAAGAAGTTACATATGCCATATGTAACTGATAAATTGTAACTTATAATAATAATTAAATTAAAAGCATCTACGTCACGGATTCCATCATCGTCTGCACACATACATACGTGTGATGACATGCGATGTAGAGAAAAAAATAACGTATCAGTGGTTTTGCATAATAATACTTTATATACGTATTACAAGTGGCACTTTCTTGAAAAATATGGTCACATGTTATATACATATGATATGGTAATAGTGAATCCAAACACATCGCATTTGAGAGATGATAAGAGAGACGCGTCAATAGTATCTACAAAAACTATATGTTCGAACTCTTATCTGCTGACTTAGAATAAGTTACCAGAAGTTATTTGATAGGGAATAAAACAGGGTCAAATGAATGTTTGGAAAGATTAATTACATTATACATTTATTCAATTATTACAACTTTAATTATTTATCATTATTCAACATGGGATTATATCCCATATAGGTATTTATAAATTTGTGGAAAAACATTTCACATATTATGCTAGGCATATATTATGTCTTTATATGTATAATGAATATGCAGGTGGTATTGTCAAAATTTCTGAAAAATGAAATATCGCAAATACTTCGAGACATTTATTGAATTTACACATAAGTATATTAACCAGTGGTGGAGATACTACAACACTAAGAACTCCAGAATTTAGGCGCCACTGTGTGCATACACAATAAATATAATATACAGGGTGATTCATAAATGGCGAATTTTTGGTGAACTTTAAATTTTAAGTTTTACTCAAAAATCAGGCTTTTTTCGAAAAACAAAAGAGAGTAGTAATTTGTAGAAAATTGAAAGACGAATCCGAAAATATCATGGTTGTTACCGTAAAGCAGTGGCGTACTATTTTATTTAGAAACATATGCCACCGATACCCTGTATGTCCGCCACTGGAGCATGCAAATTTTAGGAATAGTCCTCAGATTTTGGACAATGTTTACATAAACACATGTGCCCAATTTTAAATTACTTCACTTACTAGTTTTTAAATTATTTAAAAAAATTAAAAATATTTTTTGAAGTTTAACACCCTGTATCTTTTTAACGAAGCGTCTTAGATAAAAACTTTATAGGAAAGACTCCTCTTAAAATTCGCCAAAGAATACGAGATTTCACCATTTGTGAATCACCCTGTATAACTGAAATTCCCAATTAAATAAAAAAAGCCAAAATTCCTAATTGCATTTCAAAGAAAAACATCTTTCCTATTTTATTTATTTTATTCAAAATAACGGATCATTTTTGTGTTGTTATTTTTAGGCCACAAAATATGTTTATAATGAATAAATAGGAAATAATTCTGAAACTGTTAGTTTTACAAAAAAAAGTAATGATCATTTTACTAAATTAAACAATTTATGTAACTTACTATGTTTTCTTTTTGTCGAACAATTCTAGATTATTAATCAGTATAATATGCATATTTTAAAATAAAAGATAATAACTAGAAATGATCAGTTTCTCAAATTAAATGGACCCTGGGTGACCACCCCAACGACCCCACCCCTGCCCGCTAATCTTTTCTGTTTCAGAGACAGCCAGGATCAAGAAACGAAGACAACGACACACACACACACATACACACCCCCCATACCTCCTAACCCCTCCCCTCCCGCGCTGGGCTAAGGGCCACCTTAGCAAAGCGCATCCCAGGCTGCATAGCCGCACTACCCTACCCAACCATACCACACATAAACATGACACTACCCCCGGGGTTTACACAGACGAGCCGGCGAAACAAGAAGAGCGCCAGAAGAAAGGGCCCTAGCCGGCGGGGCCCAGCCAGGACAAAAGGAGGTCCCACAAAGCGCCTACACCGGCCGCATTTGCGGTCGGGGTCGACGACGGATGGGGCCCACCTACGAAGGCAGCCCAGGCCTACACGAGATGAGGCAGGAAAAAGAGGGATAATCCCCCTCGATCCCAAATCATTGAGGCCAATTTCTAGCCATGGAATAATGGCGAAATTAAATGGAAGCGATCATTTATGTTTAATACAATAATTACGAATTAAACAGATTGAATTTTCAAAATGCTCAGCAGCAATGAAATTCTAGGGACCTCAATGAAGGTCAATTATATCTTGAAAATTAAAGAAAATTATTTGTGCATTAATAGAGTTTTTTTCTTCAAGATATCAAGATAATACAAAATATCACCTTCTCTACTTAAGGACCATTATATACGAGTCTGAAATTTAGATAAAAACACTTGCAAAATAAAATCATAGTGTATTTGAAAGAATGAATGAATGAACTTAATGACTTAACTCAAAGAAGGCTCTATTTTTCTATTTTGTTTTTGTTTAAGATTGTAAATGGGATGATTGATTGTAGGGAATTACTAGAGTATTTGAATTTTAATATTTTGGGATGCAAAACTCGCTACATTTATTTATTTTATTTAAAAACACCAAGAACAAATATTCTTCAATTTTCTCCAATATATGTGATGTGCACAAATTATCATCATTATCAGGATCATCTTGATATTTTTTGTTGTAATGCCCCCAGTATTAAAAGATGTATCCTCAATAAAAGTTAAGTCGCTATTTTTATCTATTTTTATGTATTTATATATAGTGTGTATTTTCTATTTGTGTTTTGATTATGTTAATGCAAATGTTATCTGTTTTTTTAATCTGTATTATACCTGCCTTATAATTGGGCTCCGGCCTGTCTTGGCAGTTGTTTCCAACTAAATAAATAAAATAAAAATAAATAAAAACACTTGCAAAATAAAATCATAGTGTATTTGAAAGAATGATTAAAAACAATAACATTTGATAGAAATAAAAAGATGACGTGAAGAATATTATCCAGAAATATGAATGAAATATTTTGTTTATGTTAAAAAAATAAGTGAATATAACAAATAAAGTATGTTAAAATATATTATTTTCCATTCATAAATCTCTATACACACACGCTTTAACATTATCTATTACAAAAATGCATGACAGTTAATGAACATTGTTCAGAGTGTTATGCAACTAATAAAATGAATAAATTACACATTAAAACATTTTAAATATTCCTCTTTGACCTTGCTTCATGAAAATATGAACAAAATATTTTATGTAGTTATGCATTTATTTATTATTTTAACAAGTTGGTAGTATCATAAATAAAACAGTAGACTATTTTGTGCATGTACGATTTCTAATTTTAATTGCTCAAGCGCATTATTTTAATATAAAAAATGTCTTAATAGTAATGCCCATTACAAAGTATGTTGTGGAAGAAATAACAATCAACAAATGTTTATATATATTATCGCCCTTCCTCTAAACATGTAAACTAATTGTGATAAAGCCTGAAATTAGGTTACGCTTAACAATTATCGTTAATTTTTGTTGTGTAGCTTATAATATTAAACGCGCTATAGCTCTACTACAAAATTATTATTTAGGGATACGGTCATAATACATTATGTATTCAAGTCAGATAAGGTAATTCAATGGGTATTTTATTATATTTTCTACAGTACTTGTGTAAAAAAACCCCACCATGATAACGAAAATAAGATGCATATATATGCAAGTAATAAACTGACCAGACTTGAGAATAGTTGAGAATAATAATGAATTTGGATAAAAAAAAAACGTCCATCGACTATCAATATAATCGCTTGACGTATCGTGCAAATCTTTAACGATCAAGGGGAATCTCAAATCTAAAACGCAATCTATCTAGAACCATTAGAAAAACTGTAACAGGGCAAGCACAGCTTAAAATATTAGAGAGTTACAGCGGAACAACTCGGTGCTGCGCACGACCCTCGAGGAAAAGTGAGCTCGGCCGCTGTTCCGGTGTAGTGGGGGCCACAGAAATCGAGGGGGCAGGACTCAGTAGCAACTTATTCAACAGAGAGAATCCATCGTATGATTGTACACATAACCATTATCGAGAAAAATTAAGTGTTTCCAAATTCGTAAAATGAATCCGTGCACCGAGGGACGGTGACGAACGTGCGAGATCGAATCGATACTGGCACAGCGAGGCCGGAGGGTGTGCATTTCAGTGATAAACAAGACTGACATTTTGGCCGAGGAAACCGGGGAAAGATGTATAAGTTACTGGGAAATTTGGCCAGTTTTCTGAAGTACCATGAGATCGTCACGGACTGTGCTATTTTCCGCATGCACAACACCTTCACAACTGCCCTTTTGCTGGCGTGCAGTGTAATTATTACGGCTACTCAGTTCGTCGGCAACCCCATCCAATGCATCGTCAACGGCCTGCCCAACCATGTGGTCAACACGTACTGCTGGATTTCCTCTACTTTTACAATGCCAGACGCCTTCAGGAGACAGGTAATATGACCTTTTGTCTCTAAATATGGTGGATTTCGCTCGAAAAGTATCGAGCGATCGAATAACGTTTTTTAAATTTTTCCCGCGTTGTCAAAAATCACGCTTTGTTGACAGTTTTCAGTTTTATCCCTCTCCGCTCTCATGGAAGAGTGGTGGGGGTAGATGTCAATAATTTTTAATTTTCCCATGTTTAATTTCCAGTTATTCCTAAATGATATATATTCTTAAACATATTAAGGCAGTATTTATTTATAGGTATAGTTTTCTATAAATATGGATGACTATTATGTATATAAATAGAACTTTTTATTATTCTTTACATTTTACATTATATCAGTTTGGAGTTAATTATGAAAACGTATAATATTCTACGGCGTATTTCACAATAATTTAAACAGCTCTCTAAAATTGAAGCAGCCCTAAAAGCATTGTCACAATATATTATTTTGGTGTGATTATGATACAATATATCACGAAATTACCCTGCAATATTTTACGAATACATTGTACAACTTAAAATAAGAGAAAAATAGAAATAGACATAGGCGGAGAAGTGCCTCCTAAGGGGATACAGTCCCTTAAAATTGACAAACACGAACAAACGATGAAATTTGGAAGTGATTGTTATTGTTGCGTTGTTGTGTGTTGTTAAGGATTTAATGGTTAAAAAATGATATCTACATTTTAGTCAGGGGCATCTAAAATTGAGGGGCATATGGGTAAATTTTGTCCCAATATTTTCAACTTTTGAGTCAAAAGTTTTGAACAATTTTGGAGCGAAAAGATATTCATTTATCATTAAAAATTATGTTAAATATTGAAAATAACGGAATTTTGAATGTTTTTCAAAAAATGAATACTAGTTTATTTAACAAGAAGATACAAACACCTTCAAAACCTGGTTATTAAAAATAATCATTTTCACTTAGCTTTGTTTTTGTAAGTAGTTATTATTCATATTTTTCAAATACTGTTTTCAAATATTTTTTTTTCGTATGCTTTAATGACAGTGATATCGTAATTTATTGTATATAATACTGTTATGTTTAAATTTGATGTATTTTGACGAAAAATTTATAAATAATCCATATTTATTATTCTCTCACAATCAATTTCATTCCGAAATATTGTAAAGTAGTATAAGACATTTTTTTTACTGTAAAATTACCAAAAATTTTTAATCTTTTGATAAGAAAATGGGAAAGTGCACATATAAAAAAATTAGAGCAAAATTTAGTTCTCCAGTTTGCTTTAGAGTCTAAAGCAAACTGGAGAACTAAATTTTGCTATTTTGTCTAAAGTTTAGACTAAAATTTAGAAATAATTTTTTGACCGTCAGATCTATAACTTGAAAGCATTATCGAGTTTCACTATTTTTTTATTTTATCCTGAATTATGGGCCATATCTGTAACTTTTTGTCTTATTTTTATTTTAGAATCCTATAGTCACATAAATGAATAAAGGTGTAAACGTAATTTAACACAGACAGACTGACAGATAGATGTATGTGCAGGTGCATGCTACTGTTTATAAAGTTTTGTGTTACACTTTTTATAATATAATAATATAAAATATTTAAAACACATAATTTAACAAAAACACTTACATTTGCAATACATTTATCATTTAAGATTGTCAATATCTAAAACTGTAAAAAAACGTAGTTGCAGGAAACTATAGCTAGAATTATATTTAAAACAATGTGCCTATAGAAAAAGTGCCTATTCGTAATAAAGTTTTTTTCACAATTTTTTATGTGAATTTATTTGAGGCAATTATATAATATCAGTGGTTTATCATTAAGTAAGAATATTTTGATATTTCTAGTGCTTCTTAAAATAACATGTTGATAATGTCCTTAATGGTGTTTATTACTACTTTTTATGTACGAGTACGTTTTTCCTTTTTTTTTAAATCCGTCCTCTTCCTGTCAACATTGTATTAATTTCATAAATATGTAATTAATTTCGTATTATAACTTTATATTAGAATTCAATATTTATCATTTGCGGTATTGCAGTAATGACTTTTCAGACACAAAATGTAATGAGTTTAAAGGTCAATGAGAACGTAAAAGTTATTTATATGGTCACTGGAAACGACAATATTAGTCACATTTTAAAATTATACGTCACGTTCAACGGAATCAGTGCTGTTCAGATTTTATCTTCGCTTGCATATGTTTGAAATAAATGGGCGCCAAAAAAATTAAGCTTGACTTTGAGAAGATCCAGACATACCATTTTCTGGGATTCGTGATGCCAACATATGTATTTTACATTAAATCCCAAACCAACACATGTTGGCAGTATAATAAAATAAATATACATGCATAGTGATGTAGGTTGTCGTAGTTATATGTTAAAAAGATTGTTATAACTTATACCCACAGATTAATTTTTATTACTATAATAATAATAAAAAATACGGTTATCAAAAACAAATGAGAAGAGAGCGAAAAATATTGCATATTGCATGAGTTCTAAGGTTGTTATAAAATCATTATTCTTTAAACTTAGTCTTGCTGTCTTGTAATTAATTTACTGTTACAATGCTTAATTTTACTTTATTGGAATTGAATGTTATAAATCGCCGAAATCGGCATTTTTTTCACATGACCTTACACCGTGAGTAAGCATTGTATTGTTCAAAGTAAAATGTACTCTTACTTTAAACTTTCACTAATTATGTAGGATAAAGAGAACATGAATAGAAGTGAGATCAAACATACTAAGAATCTTTTAAACAAGTGCAATTTACTCATAGGCCTACGAGTGGGTTTTAAACAATTTATGTGTATGTTATAAGAATGATTTCATTTCCTTAATGATGAATGAAGTTTGAGTACCTATAAGTTGGTGTAAAATATCACATTAAAATAATCATGTAGCTTTATGTTCTGTGGGTAGTGATATAAAAATATTGTTAACTTAAAGAATTAAGTAATAGAGGAGAAAGAGGAGAAAGTGTATTTTGCCCACGCAAAATTTCGAGTTTACCTTTCTAATTTATCGCATAAAAGTATTCAGTTTAACAAAAACGTTGGATGATAATTTCCATAACATTCAAATTTAAAGAATTATATCATATTAAAATTTAAATTCATTGATGTCATCCTTATCCTTGCATTACCCGCTTGTTAATTTTGTTCCATTGTATCCTTGTGCCTTAAGCCTTTTGCAACGATTTTAAACTGTCTACACTTGCACAAGAAAGTTATACTATTCTCAGTGCAAGCTAATTCTTTACTGAGTGATTCTAAGTTTCTAAAAATTTTGGAAGCATAAAGTACCCTTATCTCTCAGATGACGAATGTAAGAAAAGCTAATTGAATCAGCAGCATGACGCAGACATGCAGCATGCAGCAAATTAGGCATATTATATTCGTGTTGGCTGCTGCAACTTTTGACCTTTCATTGCACAAGCGATCTTTGTCTGAATGCAATCAGTTCTACAGTCAGTGACTCCAAATTAAACAATTATGGTCATTGTTCGGCTTGCTTGGTACATTAATGACAATCATGACTATTAATGGCTTAAACACAAACACTAACACTAACCTACCAACGACGAAAAATACTGTTAAATGTTAAAGAAACATTAATTGTGATGAAGTACTGGAATTAAGTTGAATTGAATTCGAGAATTTGCTACTAATATATTATTGGAAGCTTTGTAAATATTGCCCAGGTTTAGCCTTTCAAAAATCACCTTTTTGAGAAATTTAATTTATATAAGCATGAAAATATGAGACAGGTAGAAAAATATTTATTTATTTCCATAAGTTTAAAGTATTACGCAGTGCCAAATATCTTGATAATCTCTGTTTCAATATGACTAAAATTAGTTTGTTACTTTTTGAACACATCTTTTATGTTTATTTTATATCTATTTAGCGAAAGAAATACCTATAGATAAAATTCTATACACCAAATTCTCGTTAAATGTGCAATTTGAACTGTTTACAAACTTTTGTCAATATTTACAATCGTGGAAAGTACTTAACGTAAATTGTATTTGGATCGATACAACCTCAAGCACTTAAAAATCGGAAATGGCGATAGTAAAAGAAAGTAAACAGATAAGTATGAAATCAGGAACAAGAACGTTGTTGTAATAAAGTGAATGTTTGGTTGAATGTGCGTTTTTATTACTTAAATTGAGGAGTTTTAAATAAAAGAATGTATCACTAACGCTATAATAAATTTAAGAGAACGATTACATGCGTCGATCAGAGTTCAGTTACCGTTTAGGAGGTTCAAAATAAGGTAAATTGTTTGACAAAAACATTAGATGATTAAAAGTATGCAAATCAAACTGCTTTATTTTAAAAATGCACTTCCGCTTTACTTTAAAGCTATTAACATAAATCAAATTAATTTTAAAGATGCAGTAATACAAGTTTATTTTGATGTCAAACTAAATAAATTTACCTTATACACTTAAAGTTACATTACACCTAGAGTGCAGTTTTACCGAGAAACATGGAACCTGTTTGTTAGGGTTGGTTATAAAAAAATATGTTTTTACTATTTATATTTTTCCAAAGTATCTTAAATGAAGGGCAAAGCAACATACATAATTCAGAATATTATCTGAATTAATAAATTTCCTTTTTAAAATAATAGTGAAATCAAAAACTTGACACAAGTTAATAGTGCAATTTCGATAAAGAACCAAAATAGTGTTTATCCTTCAATATTTACGTGTATATGTATCTGAAAACGATTTACTAAATTCATTTTTATACTCGAAAATCGTATGAAGCTTGAATCAATTTTAGACATTTCTAACTATGAGAAAATGTTAAGTAAATGTTTGATAAATAAGATACATCTTCTGTAAAATGAGTTTCTATTTAAAATAGTTACAACTGCTTAAATTAAACAAAAAAATTCTCCATTTATTTCCTTGGAGAAAATTTTGATAATTCATTCATATCCATATTTTTTCTCACGATCAAATTTTGTTCTAGTTCGTGCATCAACGTGTATTTTGCAACAAGTTATTGTTAATTCACACTTTTATTTCTATATTTACATCAAATGTATCATTACGTCAAAACAAATATAGATATGAACAAGAATAGACCAATTCTATAACGACTTGCAACATTAAGGATTTCAATATTTTAAATATACGTTTTTATTCGATTTATTTTTTATTTTAAATAACTATTCATAACTAAGTTGCATACGAGACTATTTTTTATATATTTATATATTAGCAAATACCTTTTGATTAACTTACTGCCTTCAAAGTAATATAAAAGCTCCTTTCTTACAGAAAACATGATATTCAATATAGATCTTTAATATGTTTTTATGAAAATCTAAATCCTAAAAACATTAGTCTCACGCAAACTACAATCCATATAATTTATATGTGGCGAGCGTACTAAAACGATGGTCCAGATCGTAATGATAGGGTATCGTTATTCGTTGATTTCTAACCACTAATTAAACGATGTTTTTTTGTTTAGGTCGGAACCGAAGTTGCCCATCCCGGTATAGCGAACGACTTCGACGACGATGGAGCCCAGAAGTATTATACGTACTACCAGTGGGTCTGTTTCGTTTTGTTTTTCCAGGTATGAACCATTAAAAAAGCATTTGTAGGAGTAGGTTGTTAAGCTAAAGCTTTAGGATATGGTCCATGTATTAGATCTGGCGACAAGCAACATAAAATATGTGTTCTAGAAATTGTTTCCAAATGTCTAGGAAATTTACCCCAATAGTTTTAAAAGTGTTAAAAAAATTGAGTATTCTTTAAAATGAGAAAAAGTTCCTACTGTCAGGACTATATAGCGTCTGAAATGTCTAATTTAAAAAATACATATACTTATCTGGTTTTGTAATTTTAATCGGTTTACTTAAAAATTTAAGACAATATAATTCTGGCAACATAGTCAGTCACGAAGGAACTTAAATATAGGAAAAATTATTACTAATAAGATGTGTAACGAGGTGATAATAGTCAACAGTCATTTTTGACACAACAAAGTATGCGCTCAAAGCGGAAAACCTACTACAAGACTTGATGTATACAAAGACCAAGAATAACGCAATCAAGAAAGTCGAGAACGGGGTGGCGTCAACGAATCAGGCATCTAACATTTCCAAGGAACTTTATTCCAAATGATTCAAGAATTAAATTGCCTGAATGTACCACTCACCTACTCGTTCGGTACGTGTCACACAAAACTGAAGATCTCATGGGAAATACAGACTAAAAACGTGGAACATTTTACCTTCATGGCCAATCCAACAAGATCCAACTAGACTCAGATAATATCCTAGTTAGTTTTGACGTGATATCGATGTTCACAAGAGTGCCAACTCAAGCGGCCTTGGAAAACTTCGTTGAAGACTAATTGTAGAAGATAATAAATGATGTGAATTTAGTAAACAAAAGCATTCACCAGATGGACTTCTTCTCATTTGGAAATCAGTTTTATGAACAAACTGAAGAGGCACCTATGGATTCACTATTATCCCAACTTCTAGAAAATATCTACATGGAAGCCTTTAGAGAAGAAGTGCTGGAGTCAGCAACTTTCAACCGAAGCGTTTGTTCAAATATGTTGACGATACAATTATCATATATAATTATTTGGAGATTTAAGGTACCCTTGCTTTCCTAGATATCCATGCCAAGAGAAAATATCGAATGGACATTATTTTACAGAAAAATCGTCCCTCAGATAGGTATCTGAAAGCTGAGCCTCGCCATCATCCAGCTCAGAAACAAGTGAGCACACATCACCTGTCAACCATGCAAAGCACTTGGACCAGGGAGTATTCATCTATGTTGTCGGAGAATATGGATAAACCAGTAGAAATAATGAGTGAACAGTAGCTGAGAATAAGGAAAAAGAGAAATATCTCACAGCGACACAGTATTGGTACCATCAATATGGTCAATCTTTTACAAGATGAGCTTCAAGAACGGTGTATGCAAGGTCCCGGTGTAGAATATACCTCAGAGATATGGGCAAATTATTCATGTATTGAACAACCAAGGAGACTTTTTATCGCAAAGTTAAAATAACATAAAAAATATGAAAAAGATATTCCTAATGAGACAATGTAGGACCATCCTGTGCAGTACCTTCTTAGAAATGGCTTTATAAAAGTACCATATAGAAAAAAGGATAAAAGCAAAGAATCAGACGCTTTCTTCACGGTAAATCTTACAAAGCAAACCGTAAACAAAAATTTTCGTGTCAGTACGATCTTCTATTGACTAAAACCAAATATCATTCTTGGTTGTCCAATTTCAAGTCAATCTCTGTCTAACAGAAAGGACACGTGGAGTCATTGACCATAAAGCTGACAATCGAATTGGGTAAAACTAGAAATGCAGACACTTTTTAGCAGAAACACAATTTATGTAGAATGAGGTGAATGAACAACCTAGTGAAGCAGGAAATCAGATTTCACGGTTGAACGTATACCTCACGGTTTCATTGCAAAAGCGTTCCAATTGTAAAACAAGCAAAGAAGAAAATAATAAGATTTGCTTTCGAAATTTGTGGCAGCAAAGAAGTGTGCAAATTTGATTTGAAAGAACAGCGTCGCCCGTTTGGATTGGCACGAAATCGAGGCCATATAATCGAAAAGATGTTTACTTGAAAACTTAAAAAAAGAATGGTCATTGTTCTATTTTTATTTATACCGGTTTTATAGACCTAAATGTATACCACTTCTTCACATTTAAGTAGATTAGAGACCATTCTATGAACCGGTCAAACTTTTCTGTGGGAGAGGAATTGCAAGAGAAAGTAATGAATAAAATGTACTGAATAAATAAATCATATTAGTTAAGAACATCAGTTTCTATTGTGAGACTTTTCACACCATTTAATGTGTAAGTGAAAATTTTTTAGATTTTGAAATGAGATGTTCTATATTCGCGCATGATCTAATACAATGTTATATTGCCACAAACCGCATAGTTTTTTCTCAACATAAAAATTCTTTAAGAATGACAAATATGAAATTCATAAAACATTGAGTACATGTACTGTTTGTGCACAATATTTTCCACATTTTAAATAAAAAGAGGGGTGAATAGTAATTGACATATAAATTAGACATTTACAAATATTTCTAATCATTGTTTTGTAGAATTTTAGCACCTAGACTGTGCTTACAAAACTTTTTCACTTATGTTCAAACATAAGAGAAATGGACATTATAGTAATAATAAACATAATCTCGAAAATACTTTCTAAGAAGCATTTTGAGATCCGTATTTAGCATCGGATTAATTTTACAAGTACGCTGTCGGAGCTTCACCAAATTGGGATAAGTTGCCGATTTATACCGTTCAGTGAGGCCCTGGCTTGTCACTTTCATGCGATAATAGTATTTTTAAGATCTATTTTACCCTTATTTCTCTTATTGAAATCCCACATTTCGTTCGTAAAAGAAAAACCATAAAAATTTAAAAAAGTTATTACCACCACTGAGAATAAAATAATTATATCTCTGAAAATACAAAAACCGCCTTTTAAAGTATACTGAAAAAATTATTGGATGTTTTTGGACGGTATACTGGATACAATGAGTCCCGTCTGTACTTTTGGAAAGCTAATGATAAAGTAAAGTATATTACTTTGAAAAGGGTTTTTTTTTAGTTACTTATCTTTTGAGATAAAAATGTCAAAATTTAAAGATGAAGGCAGTAGCATGAATGCGAGTAGTATGAGGAGAATAATTGAAAAAAAAAGTGTAAACATTTTTTAAACGTCTTAACTGCTTCGGAATTCCTAAATAATAATATAAAAAGAGATATATTATTTAAAGATCGAAATGAAGGTAAAACTTTTTGTCACAGAAACGACTGAATTTAAAAATATTTACATTACTATGAATTCATTATAATTTGATAACACAAATTCTAATTTAGTTTACCGTAACAACTTTATCTTTGTCTAATGAGAAAAACGACTATGCCACTATATTTCCAAATGGAACTTATCTCTAATTTTTTAAACTATAACCAGTACGCCCTCTTCTTTAAATTTAATTTAATGATTAATTTAATCGCACCTATGTTTGTCTATTACTGCATTGTCGAGTCGAATCCAATCTAGATCCAGGTGGTCTCGCCCAATTAATTAGTTATTTTTATAATAAATTTACGAGTACCACACCTCCAGTTTTGGGCTTAGCCCTGATTTAAGGAGGTTTATCGGGTACGGAGGTACGTCTAAAGTCTAACGAAAGTTTCTGTAGATTCGCTAGTGACTAAAGTATTAAACCTTTAGATTTGGCAACGTTGCACTTGGCTGGCACGCTCGGCTCGGCGTTCGCTCGCTCCCGTTTGACCATTCTGTTTGTTTGGACACCTGCGAATTTCAAATAATACGCTACGTCGAGACCGCGGTCACCCATATGGATGATAAGTTAGTCAACGACAGCAGTTTGAAGGTGAATTATTATAAATTATGTGTCTTACAGGTACCATCTACAAGCTGTCATACGTTTCCTTAGATATCGGTTTCCTATTTATGCAAATTGCTGTGGAAACTGTTCGTCAATTGTTGCGCATTCTAAGTGGAAAGACCAAAAAAATCTGCATTCTCATAAGACTCTGTACTAAATCGTGAAAAATTATCTCGTCCTTAGGTATCCAAACTAGTCATAATTTTTTTGAGGATTTTCTATATATTAATAAGCTTATATAAATTTTTTTATGAATACTTGTTCGTCAATTCCAAATCAGATAAACCTCCTTAAGGCGCTTTTTCATAAGTTCTAATGACTACGAAGTCCTTAAAACCCATAGAACAGTTTAGAAAAAATGTTAATGTAGGATTTTAACCATTATTGTAATTTTCTTAAAACAGCAATAAAACCTTAATTAAAAGAACAGAACCACAAAATTGCAGTTTATTAAATATGTCTTTTTTAGTTATGTGAAAGTTTATTTCACTTTCTGTCTGCTTCCGCTAATTTAGTAACTTCCTGTTAATTTATTCCAACACACTGGTATTTTAAAAGTGCCACCAAGCTGTAGTTTTACATTAATATAGTTAAAAGATAATGCGGTTACTCATTTGTTATAATATATTTTTTTAAGAAATGTTATACACTGAATAAACTTATTCTGATGTAAGAAGTGGTTTTCCTGTGGCTTCTAAAATCCTTTCAGGATGACAAACATGAAAATAAACAGAAAACCACAGAACGTTATGTAGAAACTGAAAGATTATCTATCGTGGCCAGTTTACTTGTAATATGTAATAGTTATTTTATATTAACCACAAAATGCATTGCTCGATTACAAATAATGTGGTGTTTTATAACTTATGAAAATAAACTTATTTATTACCTAACAAACTGAATTTACAAATATCATTTAAATCTGATATATTTTAACTCTTTTAAGGCGGTAACGGACGGTAGATAGTTGGCAACAATAGTCGGATAAGTTCCATATATATTATTACTGGTTGCCGAACAATCTCCATCAAAAAAATATTTCTAGTTTTCAGTATACCTAAATTCATCGACTTGTATTATTCGTATACCTATTTATTTTCAAATAATTGTGTAAACTACTTCTAACTTCCCGCAAATAAAGTTTATTCGAATAAAGTTATTTTATATTTCATTAATAGTTAATGAAAACAACAAGAGACAAAGTTAATTAATAGAATTACAATATTTCCACGACGTTTGGAAAATGGATTTAACATATTCTTTCTCTAAAGTTTTCAGCCAGTACGCTTTGTAAAAATAACTATTTTTTAAATTATTTTAGGCTATGGCTTGTTATACCCCAAAAGTACTATGGGATGCCTGTGAGAATAACCTTATGAAAACGCTTGTGATGGGTCTCAATATAGGAATATGCCCCGAAGAAGAGAAATGCCAGAAAAAAGAAGTCATATTGGGATACCTTATGAAACACGTGAAGGTGAGGAAAATTAATTTTTATAGTATTTACTGCCTTTGCAAGTAATTTCGTAGAAAAGTTATAATATTTAATTCTACATAATATTATGTAATTCATACTTTGTATATTTTTATTGCGAAAATTACTACACAATCATTTATACAATTATTAGTTCCCCCTGGTCGAACTAATGGCTGAATTAATTGTTAAAATATATGCTACGTGCAATAAGTAATAACTGCCTATATTTAAAACTAATTTAAAGAGGTTGTCAAATCTCTATAGGTGGTCACATATCAAGTAGTTCATATTTATTACTTCCCTCATTTTCAATTGAAATAGCTATAGCGTGTTAAGATATACAGGGTGTAAGAAATTTGACTGCCATTACTTCAGCATAAATGCACAAAAAAGTTGTATATTACAGTAAGATTAACAGTTTTCAAAATACAGCGAGTATTAATTTTGGGGAGTTTCATCAGAACCTGACAACAGCGCTTAACTTGCTGATGCACAGCACTTGTCCTACGGAAAAAATGTAAACAACTATTATTGTGAAATAATTAGTAAATTTCAAGACAATTGTTTTCCAGTTTTTATATAAATAAAATAAAATGTATCGATTTTGTAGTACGAAGATAGTGTTGTGCTTAAATTTTAGCTCGAATTTTAGTAATTACGAATCTCTTAAAACAGGAACTTAACTTTTAATCAAATTACGTATTGGAAAAATATGTAATTAAAGTACCCAAAGATTCATGTCGTCCAAATAATCATACGTATTAAAAATAATTTAGGTACTTACCAAAAAGTAAAATTCAGTAATTTTTAAACGCACAAGTACAAAACAATCTACAACATATGCTGAAAATGTCCACCACCATTTTTGATGCACGCACGACACCATCGAATTCAATTTTCGCGCACTAGCTGGAAAACACCTCTAGAAAAGGAAATGGTGCTACGCAAAAAACACTCCGACACGGTCGAATCCAGATACCAACTGAATTGCGTATTGGTGGTTGCTGGACACTTTAATACCTCGTATTAATAAACCACCGCACCGTCGAATTTTAAATTTATTACAGCGCTAATTATTTTTTAGAATTAAGCATAAAGACTTTCAAAAAGTGATAAACATTGTATTTTATGGTATTCTATGCACGCAGTTATGATTTGATGATTTTAATAAATGGTTGAGTTTATTTTAATGTATTCTATCGCCTGTTAAATTTGAGGCATTCAAACTTCTAACACCCTGTATAATAAAAAAATCAAAAATATATAGTTCGAAAACATCGTAAATTTTTTCTGAACTACAAATTTAAAAAAAGTTTTATTCAATAGTTTTCTTATTTTATACTACACTGAGGAAACCATAAATAGGAACTCTAACAAAATATCTGCTCCAGAGGCTCCGGAAAGGTTATTATGCCGCGATAATAAAAAATATTTGACTAAAAGAGTCTATTAAGGGTTAAATAGTTCTTCGCAGCAAATATCTTGTTTAGACATTAATAAGTGATTTTTTTTGTCATGACTATGTGCATGGCATTGAGCTAGATTCAATTTTTAAATTTGTGTTTAATCTTTTCCTTCATATTTAAAAAGTTACAAGTAACAAACAAGATACTTATCTATTATTGGCAGTCTCATCATCCCTCGCTTTTTAAATTTAACTTTTTAAATATAAAACAAAAATTCTAATAAAAGTCTATAACGTAGGAACACTGTAGGCCCTAACATGTGTCTGGGAAAATACGTTTCCTATAAATTGTAACCGTCTTTTTGGCAGATGCAGCCAATAGTAGTTTAATTATAGTAATGATGATGAAGCGAATAGCTTGTCGTTATGTACATGCAACGAAACAGCAATAAAAAAAAAGCATTCTCTGCGGCATACGAACATAATTCAAATCAGTTTCCAGCAGTTTTAGTTACTATTTTTCCATATGAGAGCCAAATAAGTAATCAGTTACCAAGTCACGGATATGTTTACAACTATAGCTAATTATAAAATATAATCAGTCACCAAATTGATAATGGTTTATGCATATTTTCGTCAGGAATACATATTGATTAAGCTGTGATAGTAAACGGAACAACCTCATGCTTTATAAAGCCCTGTATGCAAATTATTTCTATACGTGATGGAAGAAAATAATTAATATTCAATTCTGTTTCAACGGTGGGTGACACTGCTATAAAAATTGTCAAGTAGCAAAAGATAAAGTGAATACGAGTAGTTAATAGTTGATTAAAATGTAAAGACTTGTCATTAATGCTGGCGTTTTTCCCAGTAATAGATTCTTGTTTCAATGGCGCTGAAAAGAATAATTAATTATAAGAGTTTTTTATTTAGCTTACTTTTGTGTTGTTTTCGAGACATTAACAATTGAAAATCACATTCAGTGTTTATTAAACCTTTTTTCTTCGAAATAAAGGTATCTCAAATTATATTGCAGAAAACAATTTACAATTAAAAAAAAATTAATAAACAATTTGTTTTTCGTATATCCAGTCAGATAATTTTATAAATGTGATTTTCGGTTATTTATATCAAAAACTGTTGAATATATAAAAAAAACACCAAACAAACCAAAACACCATATCCAGTCATATAATTTTATAAAGCTGAAAATCGGTTATTTATATTAAAAACTGTTGAATATATAAAAAAACACCAAACATAAATAAAAAATTACTACGACAAGTTCTTTCCAGTAGCATCAAAGGGGTATGCTTCTAAAAAAAATATCAGAGCGCCACATATTATAAATAAAATTTTGTTGTCCTGAATTTGAATAATAACCACTGAAAGAAAATAAAGTTTACCTACAGAATTTAATAACCTTCAGTAATTTTCAAGGAAAGTGCATTTCTCAAGATCTATCTATCACCCTGTATGGTGTGTCTGCACCACAGCTATTATTGCCACTACGTCTGATATTAGTGAAGTAAAAAAAATGTTAAATACAATAACTGTATGATTTTTCTGATGCTCCAGAATTTTATGGCTAAAATAAATTAACATCACATCTAAACAGACTATTGTCTTTCTTCACTGTATATTTTTACATACTCATTATTACACTCATTTCAAATATATAGGGTGTTTAATTTGAAAACCAACAGTCAGTTTTTGTTTTAATACTTTTGCAATGTTCATTTGTTGTCACGTGATATAAAATTCTGACACTTCAGGAAAATTCATCCAGTCAGCTTTTATTTTTTTTCTACTTCCAAAAATAGTTGGAGTGTAAAATATAGGAAACACACGATACTAAATAAGTATAATTAGACTATAAGTACTAAGGATTATTGTGCTATCTCTTCTATTATAAAAGTGTCAATGCAAGCCGCAATTCATGCAAATGTAAAACCTGTGTTTTGTAATGAAAAATAATAGGAACATGGTCTTAAAAATCGTCACCTGAAACTCATTGGGATGATCCGTATTTGTAAAAATTGATGCAATAGTGGTTCTCTTCTGAATTCTAATGCATATTACATGTTTCAGTCACAACCTCTACCCCCAACAAAAGACTTATTTCACCTCGTTTATCAAAATGTTTTATTCTTCTCTAGAAAATCTGCAAATAATTCATAACTGTTTTTATTGAGACGTATCAAGAAATTCAAATCAAACCATGAGTTATATGTTTCATCTCAATATGTTTAGTTGTTCGTTGTAGTTCAAATGTTTGTCACAACAGTTGAATTTAAAATTTCGAAGGTAACAGTAAAAGCAGTACCTCATGAAACAAACATGTCGACTATTTGTACCTCACAGGGAAAAGTTAGGTTAGGTCTAGCAGGTTTTGTACAATGATAGCACCTCTCTTTATCCAATCAAATGGAAACCAATTCCGGAAAAGTTCCTGTCTATTATTGTTGCAACATCGATTGAAGGAGATTTTTCAGGCAAAGACTGGAATTGTCCAGCAATATAGCACCACTATATAATTTTTATCTTTAGATATTGTAGTTTCTTCGTAACTTTGCGTCTTTTGGTTTATGTTATCCTGGAACCATTAAATGAAAGACATTTGGAAGAACAAAGATTTGGGACTGATGACGAGAATAAAAAACAGTGCAATATTGATTAAAGACAATTTCTGATTTTTGCAATTCTGAAGAAGTGTCTGCAATATCTGAATTAAATTTTTTATCGCTCTTGGTTCTTGTCCTTCCTAGAAGAGAAGTACGGACTTTCCAGAAGAGAAACATATTATTGTTATTACTCAATCGAAAAAACATTAGAATACAGTTCACACCTCTCCCTCAAGTTCAAAAAACTTACATGAACCCACGCGCACCCGTCTGCCTCTTTTTCAAACTTCCCATTACCGACTCCTAGACCCATTACAAGTTCCGAGGCCAAATTCGGTGTACGTCCAGCTGGATACCAGGAAATAATTACCTACCTAGCGCAGATACTTTAAATTACGCGGCCAATTTTATATTTTAATTGGAGGATGGAGCTCTCGTGCCGTGAACGCGGTCCGTCGACCCCTCTTGATAGTTGCAGGCCTAGATGATGGCCGACTAGGCGATTTATTATAGGTTCACAGTTTACGTTACGTAACCCCATAAATAGAGCGTTATTTAACGTTCCATTGCGCTGCCTTAGTATCGCGCAGAGCATAATGGCGTAACATTTCAATTTGACAGGACAATGTTGTTCATTGTGTTGCAGGAATACAACAATGACAATATAAGTAATAGCCATTAACCATTAAGTATTTAATGATCTTTACTTACATTAAAGGGTAATAGAGCTGAATGAACTATTTTTATAACGGGCCTTTTCAGAGAATTTAAAATGTGAGTTTTGAACACTGCACGCGGAAATATATTTATAATTTATTTTTTTCCACGGTCGGGAGTAGAAATCAGTTTCTATGACATCAAAATTAAAACAGAAGTAGTCGATTATTCCCAAGGGAGTTTACATTAATGCTCCCAAGGGAGTTTACATTATGGAGAACGTTTTTCATGCAAAAAAAAGATAACATTGA